ATTCGCCAAAATTAGTGGCTAAAACGCCTCGTTAAGTGCTGCCTTCTGGTGTAACGCGCTTGTAACTGTCGTATCGTACACTATGTCATTATTCGTTTCTTGCAACAATTTACACCAGTTTACACCAGAAGATAGCATTTAACGAAGCGTTTTAGCCGCTAATTTTGGCGAATTTTAAAAAGTCATTAACAAGACATTAGGAGCTGAAATTTGGGGATTATATTAAGAATAGTGCTGTCGAGGAATGCATTTATTTTCATTATGATATTTTAAAATTAAAGCCCTTTTAGTTTTTTTCGGAAACTGGAAGGAATTAAAACATTAAAATATATGCATATTCTAGATATTATTTCCTAATTTATTTTGCCAAAATTTAAATATTTTGAGATACTCTTGTCCGAAAATTATAAGGGGTGTGATCACCTTAAGATTGAAAGAGAATTAGCTTTAATTCATGAGATGCAAAGCATCATAATTGTCGCGTCACAAAAACCACCTGCTGTCAAGAGAAAATTTTGATTCAACAGTATTATATATTTTATGTTGTAAAAGAGAAGAAAATTAACATTTCTTGTTTTAATAGTTATTTTTTTAATTTAATAATCTATGTGAAAAAAAAAATTTTTTATACAGACATTAAAAAATTGTTATATTAATATACTTATTTAATTGTACTTATATTTGTTGTTCCTTTAATACAATAAATACAATTTACCTATCTCCAATTCATCACTTTCCGTATCCATATACCTAGGGTCCGATTACAATTAGAAGAACACCGCTACGTCATAACTATTATTTCGAATTTCCAATATACAGGGTGTCCCGAAATTAGACGGTCATATTTTAACAGCGTAATCTACATCCTACAAGTATTAGAAATTAAAAATTTAAAAAAACCGAATTCAAAAACGTGCAGATGCCGTCACCACATCTTAACCAAATTTATATGGGACCACCCCTGAGGTACCCCCTTACTAACAAAAAAAGAATCATATAGGACAAGGTGGTAAAGTATTATCGCTAATCATACATAAAAAATGAAGAGTTTGAAGATTTTCTCATGGGCCCAATTATTAGATTTTGACTAAATTTATATCGAACCACCCCTGAAGTACCCTCTTTCTAAGAAAAAAAAACATTGAAATCGGACACCGTATTAAAGAATTATCGCTGAACATACATAAAAAAAAAATAAAAAATAAATATTGCGACGAATTGAGAACCTCCTCCTTTTTTGAAGTCGGTTAAAAATAGGAGTAAAAGTTTATATAAACAGGTCCGAAAACGTTTCGTTTTCGAGATACAGGGTGTTACAAGTCCAGATGGCACATTTTTGTAAATATTTTCTAAAATTTCTTTAGTTACCGGTTTTCCAAAGTTAAAAAAAAATAAAATTTCTGATTCTACAGACCTACTAATTATTGTTTACACTTTCTCTTGAAAATGGCGCGTCCTAGCGAGATGCAACAAATGTAGCTTTATTATACAGAAAATATTGGTTTTCCAAATTTTATAGTCAAAAATGTTAAAAACTAGCAACAAAAAAAAACTTAGGGCAATTTTACCCTAAGCTCCCCCTAATTAACCCACCTAAGAAGATGATCAAAAACTGGGGTTTAATCCAATAAATGGAGCGTAAAAAGGTAAGTATTTGTATTAAATTTTACCTAAATATCTTTAAACGTTTAGAAAATATTTACAAAAGTGTGGTAACAGGACTTCACCTTCAACACCCTGTATCTCGGAAAAGAAACGTTTTCGGACCTATGTTTATATGACCTTTAACTATTTTAGGATGTAGATTACGCGGTTAAAATATGACCGTCTAATTTCGGGACACCCTGTATATCATCTATAACTATCAATAAATAAAAAATATTTGAGTTGTTTGGTTTAAAAATAGTATTCCTACATTATTATAATATTAAGCCACTAAACCCCCAGTAGGCAGCGATAGCCAACGAATTACTTTGCCAATTGATGACATACCTGTGTTCATGTAATTGTAATCGGACCCTACCGAATCCTATGATTAATCTTCAGCGCACGACACACAACATTGCCAAATTTATGTAGCGAACAAGGTTCCAAATACTTTAAGGGGAGGTCGTTATATCCGTACGGTGTGAGGTCAGAAGGGACTGGATTGCTCTTAAGTTTATTTTAAAAATAAGAATAACGTTTATCTTCCGTTTGTTAAAGTTAACCTACATTTATATAGGGTCATTTTACCGAACATATTTTGTGTTAACTGAAAAGCAAGCGCGTAGCTAGGTTGTTTTCTTGGGGGGGGGGGGGGGGGGGGTAACACTTTTCACAGTATTGGTGAATGCGCAGCGTGTTATCTTAGAATATGGTACCAATGCAACGTCTAGAGTTCATATGTGTATTTCCAGAAAAAAGAGTTTTATAATGAAGTTTTTACTTTTTTATATATTTATACAGGGTGTTTCATAATAAAGTCCCGCAATTTTGGTGATTTGTAGAACTTAATCAATTATAAAGAAAATCTAAATATAATTTTCCTATAAACGTCCCAGTTTTCATTCTACAGGGTGATGTAGTGAATTTCATAAATACATATTTTCTAAATATTTTCTCTCACAGTAAGGACCTTAACTTGAAAATATGTATGTGATAGGTAATCGTTATTATTAGTTAGCACACTATTTCAATAAATTACCATAGCCCATTGGCGTAGAGTGAAGGGCTAAAGAAACAATTTTATTCGAAACTTTTTGAACACCCTACATTTTATAAAACTTAAGATTAATAAATATTTCTCACGCCATTTGTCACAAAAAACGGACTTTTGGTTAATCTTTGTAGACTATTTCCATTTCCGAGGTGATAGAACTGATTTATTTTATAGAGAGTGTTTTGAAACATGTCTTAAATGTTGGCTAATTTTAAGTTCAGTTTACTAAATTTTGTCAAATGCAACACACTGTATATTATTTTCGCATAAAATTCCTTATAAATTTACCTATCCAACAATACTAACATGTCCCCAATAGTGCGTAATTGATCGATACTGTTTTATTATTGGAAATAGGAAAAACAAATTAATATTAAAGTTGTATCACCACGTTTAATGAATATTCTTAAATATACAGGGTGGTTCATAAACGATGGGCTGACCAAACTTATACATTTTTATATTTGTTTTTACATCGTCAAACAACTTTAATATACTTCATTTATTTGCTATGTTGTATATAGGGCGTTTCAAAATGAGGGGTAATGATTTTCTCATATTTTTAAATGGAATACCCTATATGTCATGCCACCAATTAATGAATATTCCATTTAAAAAATTGAGAAAATCGTAACCTAACGTTTTGACAAACCCTATGTAGCAAATGAATGAAGTCAATTAAAATTGTTGGACGATGTAAAAACAATCAAACATATATTACTACCTGCAGGGTGTTTTGCTATAAAAAACTATACCTCGTTTATAAACCACTCTGTATATTTAAGAATATTTGTTAAATATGGTCATACAACTTTTGTATTAAACATTTCTTCGTATTTCTAATAATAAAACAGCTATCGATCAATTATGCACTGATGGCACACCCTGTATATAACACATTGGTATTGTTACATAGGCAAATTTATAGGGAATTTTGTGCCAAGATAATATACAGTGTGTTGCGTTTGAAAAAATTGAGTAAATTGAACTTAAAATTAGCCATATTTAAGACATGTTTCAAAACGCTCTGTATAGAATAAACCAGTTGTCTCACCTCTATTCGTTAGCTTAGTATTTTATAAGTCTGTATTTTAAACAATTTTGAAATTAATGTAAAGCTACCTAAATTATGATAATTTAATTTGGGGTCTGCATCATTCTCTAATTAAAAAAAAATTGTTTGGCAATACTGTAATATTTTTTAAAAACATTCTGGGATTAAAAAATACACTATTCCAAAGCCATTCTAAAAATAAAATAAAATATGCTATTTAAAAAACATACATTTTTATTTGTCAGGCAAAAACGCAACACCCTGTATATCCAAAAATATTTTTAAAATATGTATTTTTCAATTCCATATAACTTTTATTAAAACTTGTTTGCTTGTCAATAACACAAATTGAAATATTGAACAATTACGAACTAATGGGACCCTGTATACGAGTATAAATTTTAATTTTCAATTTGTAGGAATATTATTTTAGATGACAATGTTCGAGAAACTGTTTTATTGTTTTATTTTTATTGTTTTATCTCTATATTTTTGTTTAATATAACGTTTAAAAAAGATTGATGTTGACTATGGCTTGGGGGGGGGGTAATTACCCCCATTACCCCCCCCCCCCTCGTTATCTACGCCCTTGCTGAAAAGTGACTTTTTTGTAAAACAGTATTTTTTCTAGATTGTTATTTTTCTATAACAATAAAAACTTTTACCTAATGTAAAACATTCCATTAGAATAATTGCTGAAATTATGTCTATTTATTTAATTTTTTGTTCAGATTTTTTGGTTAAAACAGTTTGGGTATGACATTTTAGGACAGTCTCCCCTATAGCCCTTGACTGTTGATTCTCAGTTAAATGTTTCTGAAAATGTATTATAAAATAATTTTTAAGAGCTGTCAAATTTGAAGGCGACAAATAACTATGATGCAAAGTCTAAATCAAACCGTTAAATTTTGGCGTTCATATTTTGGTTTCGTCAACTGTACCTACCTAAAATCACAGAAGAAAAGGTAAACAATTTACTTCCATCCTTATAAAGACGTATTAAAAAATTATATAACTTATGAAACATCCTGTATATTTAACTAATTCAAAATATTGCTATTTAGCGGGGTGTACTGATTTATATGCGTATAAATTTCACAATAATGTACCATCTATCACTAGAATTAATTCTAAAATGTGAATACAGATAAAATGTTTTCGTTTTTGTCATATTCATATTTTGAAGCATTTAGTATTGTGTAGTTTAGCCCATAAAGCACAGTAAATAAATGAAAAAACAAGAATATGTATAAAAAAATGTTTTAATGGTTATTTTCTTATTTATCATTATTTTATTCTTACTTTTAAAAGAAACACATTTTTTTTAAAGATACCTACCGTCAGTGTGATTATATCTACGTTAATAATTATTTATAATTAATAAAAAATTTAAATGTCAAATTAGTAACATGCTCTAAGGAAACATCCTCGTCTTTGGAACAAACTATTAGTACACGTTCCACCATTAGCTGCGTTCTCCCTGACCACCCTGTATCTTTCTCTAAAACCACGTCCACAAGATGTACTGCAAGCACTCCATTCTGACCATTCGGTTAAAACACAGTTTTTCGGTTGTAGGCGTGTTGTTGATTGCCTTAGTTGAGTTGCAGAATCTAATGTGCCTGTTATTGCATCTAAAAAATAAAAATAATTTTTAGTTTAACATTTTGATAATTATGCGTGATTTATTTTTGATCTTAAACTAGCATTATAGCACAGCTTATTCACTACCAGCTGGTCATCTCGCCATAAAACGGAACGTTGGAGTTGGGACGGCTGCGCATATGGGCGGAGTCATTACCAGCTGTCTGAGCTTCACTTGCCGCTAGAAAGTGGTAGTGTAGAACACAGGAGTAGAGGAGAGAACTTAGTGTATTTTATCGTGTTGTGTGTAAATAGTTTATTTTCGAGGTAACATTGCGATAATGCGTATTTGCAATCGTTGTGCGGCGCTAAAGATATAGCGGATTTTATAAATATACAAGTAGGAGAAATAGTTAAGAAACCGAAAGGCAGACGATTCACTAGTGAATTTAAGCAATATTGTTTGTCGCTCTATTTTCTAGGTCCGAAATTATATAAAAACCAGCAACTTTCAAATAACTTTTGTCTGCCTGGAATTGGCACCTTAGAAAAGTTTATCAGTGACATTAATTTTTCTCTTGATATAAATAGTGTACTATTTAAAATTTTAAAGGATAAAGCTCAACGTTTTGAGGTATTAGATAAACTTTGTTTTATTTTTGTGGATGAAATGAACTGTAAAGCTAATTTGTTTTATAATATAAATTCAGATAGGGTATATGATCTTGAAGACATGGGAGGTGAATACAAATCTTTTAAACCAGCACTAGCTGCCACAGTAGTCATGACTAGAGGTATTCGCTCCGTGCGCGACAGCAGCGCCAATTTGTTTTGGTATTAAAGGAGTATTTCTGCCTATACTGACAAATACAATTTTTAATAGAATTCGTAAATAAAAAGTATATGTTAGTTTTAATAAAAGTATATGGATTTATAAAACAATTAAAACATTAATTTATTATTATTATATATTTTTCACGCTTAAATTAAAGAAAATTATGTATAATCATTAAAAATCAATAATAAAATATAGGCAGGCAACAGTATTCACTGGAAAATGTATGAGAAGTTGCCTAAGTCTAATAAGTTGTCATTGAAGAAACCATTTATAATAGCGTGAAGTTAAAATGTATAAAAAGGATCGCTACTTATATTTTCATTTTTGTTCTAAAGAAAACAGAATGAATGATTAAAACTGGTTTCCGATCAGTAAGTCACAAAATTGCATACCAGCCAAATATTATAATCAACGGCAGAAATCTTGAAATCTAGTCCTTGCTGAATGAACATTTAAGAATAAAGGGATATTAAAGAACATCGTAAAATGATAATTTATTGTTTATTTAAAAACTTTCTAGTTTCTGATGTCTACTATTTCCAGCATTACTGTTATTATCACAAAAATAAAGGTAATTTTTCTTCTTATTGTACACATATCCATTTATTTCTTTGATTTAATTTCCACTTTGTTAGTGAAATTTGTTATATAAGTTTCACTTTTTTTTTTGCTAGTATTTGTACAATTTTCAACACAGCAATTCCGGTTGCTTATTGTGTTGTTTTTACCTACTTTTTTGAAAAAAAGTAAAATGTATACGTGTATTTGATATGCCAAAATTACAAAATATCCCCCTAAAATGCACGAATTATCCGCAGCTAGCGCTAGTATCGCTTTTGCTTCCCTTTCCATGACTTCGCACGGAGCGAATATGTACAAATTGGAAATAATCACTTGTCTATTATCTAGTTAATTCTACGTGTCCTGGATTGCAATTAAAGCAACTAATTTTAAACGTCATACAAGAAGTTACTAATATAGGGCTCCAAATAGTAGGCGTTGCATGTGATATGGGCTCAAATAATTTGCAGTTAGCAAAATTACTGGATGTTTCACCAGAACATCCGTATTTCATGTTTGGTAATGACAAAATTGTATTTCTCTTTGATATCCCTCATTTGTTAAAAGCTCTTAGAAATAACCTGATAAAACAAAATTTTAAGATTAATGATTCAGTAGCCTCTTGGGAATATGTGAAACAATTTTATTCGCACGATAAGTCATACAATATTCGAGGAGTTCCAAAATTGACCGACTCACACATTTTCCCCAACAATTTTGAGAAAATGAAGGTCAAATTAGCAGCTCAAGTTTTTAGTGCTTCTGTAACTCACAGTATGTATTTATACATTAAATTCGACGCACTTTCATCAGCAGCTACTACTACAGCGGACTTGATTTTAAGAATGAACAATTTGTTCGATATTTTAAATACATCTGGTGGTCCAGCAGCTACACAATATCAGGAAGTGTATGTATGCAACAGAGAACAAACAGACTTTTTGAAGGAGTGCTTAATTTTTTCAATAATATGGAAGTATTTAACACAGATGGTGTAAATGTTACAAAAAAAATTAAGTGCATATTGGGTTGGAAAATAACTTTTCACGGTATTTTGCATTTATGGGAAAATTTGCAGCATTCTGACATAAAATTTTTATTAACTCGACGAACACATCAGGATTGTCTTGAAAATTTTTTTGGTTCTGTTCATCAACAGTGTGGAAATAATGTAAATCCAACCCCAATACAGTTTATACGGGCGTTCAGAAAATTACTTTGTTTAGATCTCTTACATTTAGGTACAGAAAACTGCGAGGACGATACTAGTCGTGTTTTACTGAAGATGACAGATATGCCACAGAATGTGGAAGACCGGTGTGAACCTGCAGTACCTGTTAAAACGGTAATCGTAGATACTGATGATAGAAAATCAGATATTTTAGAAAAAAAAAATGTGTCAAATATGTTTGTGGTTATTTAATAAAAAAATCTGATGTGTCCAACACATGACTTTCCTATCTAGTTATTACAGGCTTTTTCCGTTTATTGTGTACAACCTATTGCAGCATCTCTATAAATGTTTAGAGGATAAACTAAATATATACATTGTCCACATACATCTACCGCGAAACATTATTCTATAGATATTCATTGAAAATGAAAATACTGAAAAATTTAAATTTAGCACTTTTCCTACAATTTTTCCATTACGGTCCATTTAAAAAAAATCATGTATGAACAAATATTATAGAGATCGATATCGCAAACAACTTTTATTTCAACAATTTTCATAAAAATCAGAATTTTGCACATTTTGTCAAATTTCTCGAATACGGACCATTTCAGGAAATTTTTACGTAAGGCAAAAATTATAGATAATAATATTAGAAGTAACTTTTATTTGAACAATTTTCTTCTCCAAACATAAATAACAGATATATTCCATAAAATATAAAAACGGCCTCCCATAAAGTACCCCCCCAGATGTTCCGACTTTGTCCAAAATCTAATCATTTCACGTCAGGCCGAAATAAAACTTAAGTTTAAAATTTATTGATTTTTTCTTTATCCGTTTTTGAGTTTTCTTCAAATTTCGAAATTTACACATTTTCTCAAATATCTCGAATACGGTCCATTTTAGAGAAATTATCTATAGGACAAAAATTATAGAGAATTATATTACAAACAACTTTTGTTTGAACAATTTTTATAAAAAAAAATATTTTTTTACATTTTGTCAAATTTCTCGAATACGGACCATTTTAGGAAAATTTTGTAAATAACAAAAATTATAGATAATAAAATAAGAAGTAACTTTTATTTAAAAAATTTTCTTCCCCAAACGTAAATAACAGATATATTCCATAAAATATAAAAATGAATACCTATAAAGTACCCCCCCAGATGTTCCGACTCTGCCCAAAATCTAATCAGCTCATAAGACGCTGGAATAAAGCTTAAGTTTGAAATTTGGTGTTTTTCCGTGTATCGGTTCATGAGTTATGCGTTATACAGACACACACACACACACACACACACACACACACACACACACACAGACACACAGACACACACACACACACACACACACACACACACACACACACACACACACACACACAGACATCATCGCGAAAATAGTCAAAACGGATTCAGGGGACCTCAAAACGTAAAAATCCGTCGAAAACTCGAGGTCGAAAAAAATCATGATTCCTATACTTTCCTTATATCTGTATACAGATAGGAAAGTAAAAATCAGAATTTTGCACATTTTGTCAAATTTTTCGAATACGGACCATTTCAGGAAATTTTTACATAAAGCAAAAATTATAGATAATAATATTAGAAGTAACTTTTATTTGAACAATTTTTTTCTTCAAACATAAATAACAGATATATTCCATAAAATATAAAAACGGCCTCCCATAAAGTACCCCCCCAGATGTTCCGACTTTGTCCAAAATCTAATCATTTCACGTCAGGCCGAAATAAAACTTAAGTTTAAAATTTAATGTTTTTTTCTTTATCCATTTTTGAGTTTTCTTCAAATTTCGAAATTTACACATTTTCTCAAATATCTCGAATACGGTCCATTTTAGAGAAATTATCTATAGGATAAGAATTATAGAGAATTATATTACAAACAACTTTTGTTTGAACAATTTTTAAAGAAAAAATTTTTTTTTACATTTTGTCAAATTTCGCGAATACGGACCATTTTAGGAAAATTTTGTATATAACAAAAATTATAGATAATAAAATAAGAAGTAACTTTCATTTGAAAAATTTTCTTCCCCAAACGTAAATAACAGATATATTCCATAAAATATAAAAATGACCACCTATAAAGTACCCCCCCAGATGTTTCGACTCTGCCCAAAATCTAATCAGCTCATAAGACGTTGGAACAAAGCTTAAGTTTGAAATTTGGTGTTTTTCCGTGTATCGGTTCATGAGTTATGCGTTATACAGACACACACACACACACACACACACACACACACACACACACACACACACACACACACACACACACACACACACACACACACACACACACAGACACACAGACACACAGACACACACACACACACACACACACACACACACACACACACAGACATCATCGCGAAAATAGTCAAAACGGATTCAGGGGACCTCAAAACGTAAAAATCCGTCGAAAACTCGAGGTCGAAAAAAATCATGATT